AGTCTTAAAAACTCAACTATATTTTAGATAGTTAAAATATCAGAAAATTAAATATTTATGAGATTTTAACTGAATTTGGTTCGAGGGTCATTTAGAATACTTGATTTTTCGTTATATGATTAGGGTCATGTCAGACAAATCTAAATATTTTATTTTCTTCTTTCAATTACCATCAAATGTAGTTTTTAAGTTCGAATAATTGCTTTTAAGATATTATGCAGATGATGTCCCTATTGTGAATATTGTCTTTTAAATGAGTTGATTATTAAAAATTTGTTATTCTTAGACATTATAACATAAACATAGTATATTTCGTGATAATTTTATAATGTAAAGTTATTAATTTATTTTCATACGGTTTGATTTTGTAAATTAAAACTATCATGATTAAATGTGCGGATTGAGGATAGGATTTAAAAAATATAATTAAATAGATCTGAGAATATGAAAAAGAGATTATGATGATCTTTTGATTAAAAGAAAGATAATGTGATTTAAGTAAAATTAAAATAAAAATTTGTATATGATGATAAATTAAAATATATATTTTAATTAATTATTATAAGAAATATAATAATAAAATATTATATTTTAATATTCTAGATATAAAATGCTGGCTGTGGGGTTCGAACCCACGCGCACTTATGTACAGAAGATCTTAAGTCTTCCCCCTTAACCTCTCGGGCAAACCAGCTTCTTATGTTAATCATTTAGAATTAAATTAACATTAGACAATATCAAACAAAAATAATTTCTATCGCCCTTTAACTCTTTTGTATTAAGAATCTTCCCTTCTTTAACTTATTGTAAACCATCTGTTAACCTAATCCTAATTCCAATTATTATTATTTTATTTAACGTTTACATTCACTCTATGCTTCAAATTAAAGGATATAAGTTTAGATAGAAAATATTAGTGTTCAACTCATTGAAAAGAAGGAAAACATCATCCAAATGTTTTATTTCAATTAGTTATGTCATGTTAAGGGAAGAATAATAAAAAGTGTAAAGAAATTAAGATTTTTTTTTATGAAAGGTGCTAAATAATCTGATTGATATATTAATAAATTTAAATATTAATTTATTGATTAATTGCTTAAAATAATTTAATAATATAAAAACAAGTTTAAAAATATAAATTCAAGTTAAAATATATTGAAATAAATTATAAAAATTAAAATAAGTTAATTATATTTTATTTAATATATTAATATTAACTGTTTAATTGTTTTAACATAGATAAGTTGTTATAGGTAAATTTTAACACTTTCTTCACGAGATTGCAAATAAAGTTTAAAAAAAAGCTACATTTGTTTTCATGTTTTTATACATTGATTTTGACCCTTTCATGAAATTTTTCTCACTACTTAGGGGTGGGCAAACTGCACTGTTTGCACTGTACTATAAACTCATTATAATTAACTATAAAATAGTTATAAAAAAAAACTGAACTCAACTAAAAAATAGTTCAAAAAAACTGAACTTTTTTTTAGTTCAATTAACTGCAATACAGTTCAGTAAACTGTTTTGTGAAAATAGTTCAGAATTAAAGCTAAATGATACTGAAAATAGTTTTCAATTACAAGTAATTACAGTTCTCAATTAAAGCTAAATATAAGAGTTTTCATTCCCATAAGAGTTGTTTCTTCCGATCTCCACAGAGTCTTTTCTGCTTTGTATGATCTCCATCAACAGAGTCTCCACCTCCATCTTCAAACACTTTATCTCTCTGTTATACTTGCTTGGGAAAAACCTGAGTTTTCATAGATGAAAATAAAAGAGGGTCATACTCTTAATTAATATTTATATAATTATAAGCCTAAATGATACTCTTAATTAATATTATATAATTATAATTTATTTCTCTATTTTGGTATTGGATAAAAGATAGGTAGTATTTTTATTATTGAATAATTAAAAATATCATGTTTTATTATTGTAATTTTTATTTTGATAAAATCTATCCATTAATTTTTATTTTGGATTTGAGATGGAATAATAAAATTTCAAACATTCTTACTTATTGACGTATCATGTATAATAAATAAATATTCTTATCTTATATTTTATTAAAAGGTATATGTTTCATTATAATTACTAATAAATATATATACATCAACTTTTTACTATCACTGAAAAATAAAAATAAATAATGAGAATTATTAAAATAAAATATACTATTAAATTATAAGTGTAACATCAAAAGATAAATTCTTCCCCTTAGAAAAATAATAATGTCTTTACAAAAACAATAAATAAACTAAGCACACAAATAAACAAAAACAACTAAACAAATCAAATCACACTATTATAATTCAGCATAACATACATTTCACTTTAAAATCAAACAAAAACTTAAGCATATATACATATTAAAGACTTGACAAATTTGTATACAAGTATTGATGTCAAGTTATGCACTTGTGGTGACCTTCTGCAAAGTCATTGTTAATGAGTTTCACTTTACCACACACAATAAGGTTAGTCTATTAAACAACGCCTTAGGCAAAGATGGAGCACCTAAACTAGGACCTCCTCCTACTTTTTATTACATAATTCCCTTATCTACCTAAGATAGAACTATTATTGGAGGACAAAATAACCTCTAAGACTTAGCTTCCTACATCAACACCTACACTACAGTGCACCACAATGGAATCTCTCCACGAGAGTTATGGAATTACATGCATCTACCATGCACGTGATCAAAACAAAATCATCATAACCATCATATTCATCAATCATACACATACACGTAAATATATTCAAAAATCATAAATATCCCTTTATTCAATTAATTAAGTATAGCGAATTTATAAACTAACTTACCTAAATAAATAATCCAAAAAAAACATATACAAACTTAAAACCAAAATGCCCAACAAATTTTTAATTATTTTTGTAAGGACAATTGATTATCGCACCTGATAATTGATCATTCAAGAGAAAATTCATATAAAGATGACCTTCAGATTGAAATAATCGATTATCACACCTGATAATCCATTTTTCCATAGAGTTTTAAAGAAAATATAACATTATGACTAAGATAATCAATTATCACATTTGATAATTGATTATTCATACCAGTTTTGACATTAACATGATTTTTCTGATTTTTGTGCACTATATGACCTATCCAAATGACCAATTTAGGTTCTCTAACACTAGTATTGATATGAGAATATGTTTATATGTGAAAAATGGAGTACCACATTGCTCATTTGGTTAGAAACAAGATACATTAGACCAACTCAACAACTCAAAAGTAGTTAAGATCAATTCTATATCGTATGAACTAGAAATTTGCAAACTAAGGGTCTGAACAAGTCACAATTGATTCAAAAACATACCCGAACTTTCATTTTCATCACATACCCTCTATTTTATATTTTTCACTAGTTAAAGCGTCTAAAAATGAACCAAAAACATTATAAAACTCAACACATCAACCATTGACTAGTTCCATTTCAAATTTTGCTTAACTAGGCCTAGACAAGTTTTAAATAACCATAAAATAGACCCAAAAACTTAGTTTCTCTCATTTGACCCTTAACTAAACTTCTTGCCTATCAGAACCCCATTTTCAAACCAAAAACCAACCTCTAACTCAGCCTACTTCCTACTTCCTACTTCCCAATACTACATCAATTTATACCATTTATACTCCAAAACACCAACATGAAACATTCAAACCAATACCAATTCTCAAACATGTCCAACACTATTAATCAACATATAAACATCACACTACAATCATCTCAATCATAACATATTCAATCAAACATAATTCCTCGGAACATAACAAACATAAACTCATGCAATATAACACAAAATTAAGAACAATATTAGCTTCTCTTACCTGTTAGAAGACCAAACGACCCTAAAGAACCATAAACAACTCCTATAGATCAAAGGACATTAACTATGCCTACAAACAATAAAATCATGATCAGAGTATGTTATTAAGACCACTGAGGCCGACAAGGAACTAACAAGAGGAGTTGAATGACACATGTGAGAAATTCCCTTTGCATGTCTTAAACTTAAAACTAAAGAAAAAGATCAAAACCTGACTTACTTTATATGAAAGACTGATCGGTTAAAAGTGAATAACTCATTGTCGTAATCTCCTAGGCACCTTTTGATCATCAAACAAATATTTCAAGAGTTAGAATTCGTAAAGAGAAGAAAGAGATAACTGAGATAATGAGTTTTTAAAGAAATGACAAATGTTTTAGATAATGATATCTGATTATAAAATTTTATTTATATTATTGAATTATTTTAACATTGACATACTCTATCTCATTGTTTTAAATATCTATCAATTCTAATACTCAATTTTATTGATTCATGCCATAAGAAAAATTATAAAATAATTAATTTATATAATTTAATTATAAATATCTTTAATTGAATTAAATTAAAAAATATTTACATAACCTCTAAACTAATAAGAGAAAAAATATAAAATATATTTTTAGTTTTTAAACTTATTTTGTTCCACTTCAAAACTTTCATATATTTTAATATCAAATTCTAAAAAATAGATAGAATCATTTTAACCCGGTGTTAAATCTTTTTAAATATTAAAATTTAAAATATTTAAATTATTTAATATGTTTCAAATTAAATACTAATCTAAAATATTATTTAATAAAAAAATAATATCATTAAATTAAAATGAGTATATTTATTATTTTTAAAATTTAAAGATAAAAAAATGTATAAAAAATTGGAAAAACGACAAATTCCAGTTTTAAGATTCAAAATTTAGTTTAGAAACTTAAAAATACAATTAATTAGAAAAAAGAGAGTTAAAAAACACAATATGTAGGTAACCATAAAAGTTTTATAAATAATGTAAAAATATAAAATGAAATTATTAATATTACCTTTTACCATTTCATATTTAATTTAAATAATCTAAATTTTTAATTTTACTCTAATTTTCGTTTTTTTCTTTTATTTCAGTCTCACACTTTCCCTCTATTAATTTTAAACAAAGGTTAACGTCCCAATTACTCAAACCCTAGGCAGCAGCAAAGAGAAGAAGTAAAACCACATGCGAGCCTTGTGGTTGCGGCAATGGCGGAGCACTTGCCATCGATATTCGGGACGGGGAAGGTCATGGTGAATTGCCCGTTCTACTTCAAGATCGGCGCGTGTAGGCACGGTGATCGGTGCTCTTTCCTCCACACGAAGCCGAGCATAAGCCCTACCATTCTGCTCTCCAACATGTACCAGCGCTCCGACATGATAACCCCCGGCGTTGATGCCCACGACAACCCTATCGACCCCCGCAAGATCCAGGACCACTTCGAGGAGTTCTATGAGGATATCTTTGAGGAGCTCTCCAAGTACGGCGAAATCGAAAGCCTCAATGTCTGCGACAACCTCGCCGACCACATGGTATGTTCCCTCACCCTAGCCCTAATCCTAATCCCAACCCCTTGTTTTCTCCATTTTCATTACAATTGAACGCTGTCTTTTTCAGGCGGGGAATGTATACGTTCAGTTCAGAGAGGAGGAGCATGCTGCAAATGCTGTCAGGAACCTCGCTGGACGGTTTTATGCCGGTTAGTTATCTCCTTTTCTTTTGGTTCTCTGCAGCTTCTCATTCATTCTGTTTTTCCGAGGTTCATCAATGCACGCCATTCTGTCTCCGTAATCTAAATATTGAGTTAGTTTGGTTGTTTGTATGAGTGCAGGCAGGCCAGTTATCGTGGATTTCTCGCCGGTGACGGATTTTCGAGGAGTTACTTGCAGGCAGTATGAGGAAAATACTTGCAACCGCCGTGGCTGCAACTTCATGCATTTGAAGAGAATTAGCCGGTAAAACTTTGGCTTTGGTATTTAGTATTTTTTTTTCCCTTGAGGACGGTGGTGTTTGTTGGTTACATGTGTTTTGGGGAGCCTTTACAAATTCGGATGACTATTTATTCTGAAACCAAATTACTAGAAAAACTCAGTATAAAATTCCAACTCTAAAGCTATTAAAGTCGCTTCAATCCAAAACTAGTTACAGACTCGATCAATTGGTGAACACCTAATTAAACATGCGAACATTTGCCTATGATCGTGGTAGCGAATATTTCAATGCGATTCTGGATCATCTAGTATGAATTCAAACATGCTAGAAAATTTAAAGCTTAACTTTGTCTGATACATGTTATGTACAGGGATTTGAGACACCAATTATTTGGGAAGCACCATAGAAGGCACAGCAGAAGCAGGGATGAGCGGTCCCATCGTAGTCATAGCAGAAAGTACGATGACAGGGACCACCATCATGAGAGTCGTGGTAGGAAACACAGGAGTTCTAGTCCTGGACTTAGGAGAGGAAGAAGTCGAAGTCCTGGACGGAGGAAGCACCGCAGTCCAGTCAGAGATGGCAGTGAGGAGAGGAGGGCAAGAATTGAGCAGTGGAACAGGGAGAAGGAAGAACAAGATCCTGGAAACAAGACTAAAGCTGATGACATTGACAATGGTAACAAGGGGTACTCTCTAAATGCTAGCCAATCTCATGGGCATCAGCATCAAGAGCAGGAACAGCAAACTCCAAATGAGGCTTATTGATCTGTTTATGTTATTATGGTTTGTGTTCTCTCCCTTTTGTTTGCCTATTCATTTGGATCTAGGCAGCATATTTTATTCTAGAATATACCACCCACAGGATAAATACAGCTCACCACCGATTTTCCACTATGCAGGTGCACTTCTCTAACGTATGGAATGTGTTTCCTTCTTCATCCCTCCCCTTTTACCTTTTGGATTTTCCAATTTTTTATAGACATGATATTTGATTGCGTGTGGATGTTTGTGCTACTTGTGTAGGTTATTCATAATATTTTACTCTTTTGAACTATGTTTTCAACCATCTTTCTGCATTATTTGGTCACTCTTCAGTGATGGAATGCACTAGAAATACTGTTGAGCTGAGCTTTGTTCTTGTTTCTACTGTATGTATGAAGGTCAGCTAAAAACTTGTGCATATGTTATTTTTCTTGCTTTGTGTTGTTCCTACAAGTGTTTAATAATCCTCTACCCAATAATGTTTTGTCGGATCTATCTTCCAAAAAAATTATATTTTGTTGTCATTCACGTCTTTTGATTTCTTCAAAGGTGTTTGTCAATTTTTCACTCTTCCCTCTTTCGTAGATTTCAAAATAGCCTTATAGCATTTTTTCTAATATAATCCTTTTAAAAATTGCCTCCTATTTGATGATTAGAGTTTTGTAGCTTTTTTCATGGTCTTCTGTCATTAGAAAACGGATGCCCCTTTTCTTAACTTGCTAACTGTTAACATTCATAGGGGATTTTGATTAATGACTCCTATCAGTTTCAACTCTTTCACAGTTTTTGTTTAGTTTTCATCTGCTCTTTCATTTTTTCTCTTGAAAATTTGAAATTGGATTATGTTTCACTATTGTGAGTTTTGCAGGTTTAGGTATTATGAAATGAGCCCTTTACTTAGTTGAAGTTCACCTCATTCATGGTACTAAGCTATTGGAGTACGTTTTAATGGATCTTTAAAACATTGCTTTTATTGATAAATTTATTAATCTTTATAATAAATATTTTAAAATTAAAATAGTATAATTTACAAGGAAAAAAATAAAAAACCTTTACATTTTCAATCTATTATCTGAAATCTGAAAGAGGTAATAAAAATGGTTAAAAAAACCTATATGCTGAAGATATCAAGTCTTTCCCTTAACAACTTGGTGAGGTTGTACTTTAAAACTAATTTAATTTAACTAGTTTTCGATATTTCACAGAACTGCTCAAAGGAAGCGAGCCTCTACCATCCTGGCACAACAAATCTCCTATATCACAAATCCAGCACAACAAATCTCTTATAGCACAAATCCTCGCTGACATACTGTAAGCTATCCCTGACACCCATTCCCTTCATTTTTTTTATTCTCATTAGTCCATGCTTCGAATTAAACATGGTCTTTTTCAGATGGAGAATGTTTGTTCAGATCAGAGAGAGAAACGGAAACCTCACTCGAAGGTTTTATTTTGGTTAGTTGTGTTTTTGCTCTGTTTTGTTTGGTTCACTGGAACTTGTCATTCATATTGAAACTTTGATGATGGCAAGCTGGTTTAGATAGAATAAAAAAGAGAGTTTGATAATTGATCAACACTTTCTACATTGTGCACACTTTCAGTAATATATATATATATATATGAATGTGGTGGGAGAATTGGTGCGCATTATTCCCAATGACGAAAAGTTTAGTAATCTGAAGGGGGGCGTGGCGTTCAGCGATAAAAAATCAATTGGGTCTCCCTATTGCAACTTACTATCATTGTTGCTTCTAAGGTTGAGAAACCTATTTGATTCCATGCCCTCTCCCTTGTCGATACTTGGCATCCCGAGGGATTTCCAGTTCTCCCAATTCCCACACTGTACCTCTATATCTTATTATTCCGTGTATTCTTCCCTTTTCTGAAAAGTTTGAGTTGGTTATCAAGAACGCATTATGATTGGCACCACAACTCAACAAATTAATTTTGAAGTTGTTTTTGGGGTGCATGACCTTACTCTGGTGTGTAAGGTTATTCAATTCATTTTAGTCCCTGATACAGTCTTTAAAATTGTAAAATAAAAATTGATATGATTGAAATGCTTATTCTAATTAAATTGATATTTGTAGCCCAGTGATGTCCTGTGGGTATATTGGAATGATACAGATGATACGAGTTACAAATGGTGGTGGTATTGTGGATTTAAGTGTACATTTTTAAAGGTTGTGAACCAATAAGAATTTGTATGTGTAAACAATCAGAAATGGTGAATCACGACCCCCCTTCACTCAAGAGTGCATTGTTCATAAATAATACTTTATTTCATTTATATTGCGGAGTAATTATATATGTTAAGTCCTACACTGTTCTTGTAAAAATGTGGTATTCCTTAAAATAATTTGCATAACTTTTGTTACCCAAAAAGTGTTATATTCCAAATGCAGTAAATTACTTCAAAATGATCCTGTTAGTCAGGATATGAGCAATGAAATTAAAACCTTCGAGTCCATAACTCAGTGCAAATGAGTAACCGCAAGGTAATACAATCAGCATCCATACATTAATGCAAAATAAAGAGTTCATAAACAGAGACAATTATTTATTCTCTTTCTTTATGTTCAGATATATTTTAATATTAATAAGTAGATTTGAATTTTCTCTATATCAACATCTAGACCTAAAGAAAAGTAATTTTTCGCGATAAAGTCCATTTATTAGGATTCTAATTTTTTATTTAAAAGTGCATCTTTTGATGCATACCGTTCATATAAAATTATACAAGCAAAAAATAATTTATGATTATATGCTTAAATTGGAGGAAACAGAATTTAATAACGAGAATTTTAAAAAATAAAAATCAAATGACAATAATTTGTTATTTTTAAATTGAGAAATGCAAGATAGAATAAAAATTTACATTATAGAGTTGAAATTAGATTTTATTATTTTACTCTTGTTCTATTAAGTTTACTATGAATTTGCATCAAGTTCAAGATTTAAAAATAGGTTTTTCTTTGGAAATATATTAATCTTAACAAGTGAGAATTTAGTCTTAATGTGAATAATATAAGAGCAAACCAAAAGATGAAGAGGCAGTGGAGATTGAAGTGACGGAAGAAATTTTTTAGTAATAACCTAGTCGCAGTTTCTTTGATGGCCATACTTGGCCTTTTCCTCGATAATCTTCTTCCATATACCAATTTCAACTCAATGTAAGAATATCACGAGTTGAGCACTGAACGAGACCAAAAAATCATTACGGCTAAGTTGGAAAAATGTTGGTTGAAGTTGGGCTAGATGTGTTTTGCTTAGTGGTCCATCAATATTTTGGCTTCCTTCATTATTACTCATTGTTCATCCAACTTTTCTTCACCACATCCTACTTAATCAAATCAAAAATTACATTTGATCATTTTTTTATAATTATAAAATCTAAATAAAAAATCAAGAAAATCATGTTAAAGAATATATAAAGAACGGTTAAATATCTCACATGATCAAATTATAATAGATAAATGAATATAAATTTTTATAAGATAATTATAATATATAAGTAAATATAAATCTTTATAAGATAATTTTATGAAATTAAGTTAGACTTAAATTTTATTATCTTAAAACGGTATTAGAGTTATTTAGAACTTATTTTAGTTAAGTTGTTGGATCTATTGTGTTATTTAATCTCGAGTCTCTTCCTAATTATATGATTAATTTTGTTTTTATAAGTAGTTTTGCTTCGTTACTTTTTTAATTAAACTAGAAGTAGTCTTGTTTTAGCAAATGAATACAAAAAGTGTGGAATGTTTTCCCTCGTTCCTTAAGGCAATGAGTTAATAGATCTTCAACTTTATATAGTGTTTTACTTTCTCATTTCTATCCAATGTGAGACTTAGACTTACACTTGAAATTTTGACACCTTACATTTTTTTCTTCAAATTAAAATCAAAACATTATTTCAAGGTTTTTAATATTTACAATCACTTTATTCATTTAAAAGATAAAACTTTAACCTTTGAAGTGGTAGTTATCTCTCATGAACATTGAAATGCAAAAATCATTTAAGATACTTCAGAAGGTTATACATGTCTGTAATCATGGTAGTGTTTGATCTCATAAACTTAATATGTTTTCCTAAGTTTTTATCATAGTACTATTTACATAATTGCTACCTCGTTTTTCACTTGCTTAAATAAGTATTTGACAAAATTAAATTTGTTGAAATAATTTACATTGGTGTGTGTTCGATATCTCATTAACAAAATTATATTGTAAGAAATCATACTTTTTATATTTAGTGCGTTTCTCACATCTATGTTGGCAAAATCACACTCATTTAAACAAACATTTGATGTAATATTCATACCAGTGTGTCTCTCACAATCATGTGAGCTTTTAAGTAAAATCTTTTATACAAACTCAATATCACCGTGTCTCTTACTCATTTATGGCTCCATCTAGAGTTGTCAATTTGAGATGGGTAGACTTGGTTGAAGGTCGAAACAAGTTGGTCCAAATTGAAAGTCAAGACAAGTTAACTTGAATTAAAGGTCAAGATGGGTCAGTTTGGGTCGAAGGTTAAGACAGATAAGTAGGGAACAAATTAAAGGTTGAGAAAGGATGACCCATAACGAAGGTCGAGATGTGCCAACCCATACCAAAAGTCAAGACTGACCGACCCTAATCGAAGGTCGAAACTTGTCGACTCATTGAAGGTTGAGATGAGATGATTTGTCCTATGCTTGTAGGTTGAGATGGGTCAACTAAGTCTAAAGGTCGAGATGGTCTACCCAAGTCAAAGATTGAGACAAAATGTCTAGGACCGTAAGTTGAGACAAGCTCACTCAAGAAAAAAAATCAAGATTAGTTTATCCAAGTGGAAAGTAAATTAGGGTAAATGTGGTGATTCGTCTATTTAACCCTAAGGTGTGATAAATAAGTTCGAGTTAAAAGTTAGAAACGTGTTTAAACGAAGAAAAAATAGAGACAAGTTGATCTAAGCAAACTTTAGATGTAGATTTTGCATACATGCCTCCCTCCCACGTCTATGTAAGGAAAAGTACACCTTCATAAGAAAAACAAAATAAAATAAAAACAAAACAAACTCTTACAGAATTCGTACACTAACATGTCTCTCGTATTCTTGGAAAAGAATTTTGATAATCTTTTTACACGACCATGTTATTGACACCATTAGTGTAAAATTACACTTATAAAATCACATTCTTATGAACAATGATAATAACAATAATAATTGTTATAATAATAATAATAACACCAATAACAATAAAAAATAAGAATATAAATAATATATTTTATCCTTTAATATAATTGTGGTTAAATGTTTTTTAAAAAATAATCGTTATTTCAAAATTTGTTGAACTAAATGACTTGTTTTTTCTGTTTTTTTTTCATCATAAAATAAAATTGTTATTTTTTCTTTTGTTTTTTATTATGTAAAGATATACTTATATTTCATAATGAATAAATTTATTTTACATATCAACTTAATCAATTTACAACTATTTTAACTTATGTTATAATCTAAATATTTAAACGTGACAATAATTATGTTTCTACTAATAATAAAAATAATAAATGTCTTAAACTTTTATTATTGAATATTTTTTGCAAGAAAAATTATACAATATTTGATGATTTAGCTAAAATATTCAAACACTATTTTCCTTTACAGATATAATATATATATATATATATACATATATATATATATATATATATATATATATTGTGAAAATACTTTTTTTCACAATTGAGTAGAAGCACACGTGATAATAAATTAAAAAAAGTTCTTTTAGATTATATAGTCTTTCTAGAAAATGAATTCAAAAATTATTAATTATTTTATGGACGTGATAGATTATTTTAACGATGGAAAGGATGAACTAATAATTAGAAACATAAAGTCCATATTTAATAGAAAAATCGTTATTATTATGTAAATTAATATTATTAAAATATTTTTAAAAAGGAAAGAAATTCTACCCAAATCAATTGAACTGACATGTGTTACTTTCAATTTTTGTTTGCAGGGGTTTTAAGGCCATTGATGGATAGTGCGTGAGAAAGGGATTCAACTCAACAAACATCTATTTGAATTGATTGGAAGCACATCCAAACACTCCCTTAATTTTTTGTTCAAAATTAAATTTTAAGAAAACTATAAAGAAGTATCTAGAAAGATCCCTACTCCACCATATTTTGGCTTCTCCATTTCACTACAAATCCCCAATTTCTCAAACCCTAATCAGCAGAGAAGAAGTGTAACCGCATCTGAGCTTTGTGGTTGCGGCAATGGCGGAACACTTGGCATCGATATTCGGAACGGAGAAGGACCGGGTGAATTGCCCGTTCTACTTCAAGATCGGCGCGTGTAGGCACGGGGATCGGTGCTCTCGCCTCCACACGAAGCCGAGCATAAGCCCCACCATTCTGCTCTCCAACATGTACCAGCGCCCCGACATGATAACTCCCGGCGTCGACGCCCACGGCCACCCCATCGACCCTCGCAAGATCCAGGACCACTTCGAGGAGTTCTATGAGGATCTCTTCGAGGAGCTCTCCAAGTACGGCGAAATCGAAAGCCTCAATGTCTGCGACAACCTCGCCGACCACATGGTATGTTCCCTCACCCTGACCTAATCCTAATCCCAACCCATCATTTTCTCCATTTGTATTACAATTGACCGCTGTCGTTTTTAGGTGGGGAATGTATACGTTCAGTTCAGAGAGGAGGAGCATGCTGCCAATGCTGTTAGAAACCTCACTGGAAGGTTTTATGCCGGTTAGTTATATCCTTTTCTTTTGGTTCTCTGCAATTTCTCATTCATTCTGTATTTCTGAGGTTCATCAATGCACGCCATTGTGTCTCCGTAGTCTGAATATTGAGTTATTTTGGTGGTTTGTTTGGGTGCAGGTAGGCCAATCATCGTTGATTTTTCGCCGGTGACGGATTTTCGAGAAGCTACTTGCAGGCAGTACGAGGAGAATACATGCAACCGCGGTGGCTATTGCAACTTCATGCATTTGAAGAGAATTAGCAGGTAGAACTTTGGTTTTGGTGTTTAGGTTCTTTTTTTTTTTTTTCCTTGAAGGTGTGGTGTGTGTTGGTTACATGTGTTCGGAGGAGCCTTCACAAATTCAGTTGACACTTTATTCTGAAACCTAATTAGTAGAAAAACTCAGTATGAAAATCCAATTCAAAAGCTATTAAAGTCGCTTCAACCCAAAACTAATTATAGACTTGATCATGAACATCGAATTAAACATGCAAACGTTTGCCTATGGTCGTGGTAGCGAATATTTCAATGTGATTCTGGATCTAGTGTGAATCCAAACATGCTAAAAAATTTAAAACTTATATTTTTCTGATCTATGCTGTTTACAGGGATTTGAGACACCAATTATTTGGGAAGCACCATAGAAGGCACAGCAGAAGCAGAAGTAGGAGTCCTTACAGGCATCGGAGCCATGAGGAGCGGTCCCATCGTAGTCATAGCAGAAAGCACGATGATAGGGACCACCATCACGAGAGTCGAAGCAGGAGACACAAGAGCACGAGTCCTGAGCATAGGAGAGGAAGAAGTCGAAGTCCTGGTCGTAGGAGGCACCGTAGTCCAGTTAGAGATGGCAGTGAGGAGAGGCGTGCCAGAATTGAGCAGTGGAACAGGGAGAAGGAAGAGCAGGATCCTGGAAACAAGACTAAAGCTGTGGACATCGACAATGGTAACAGTGGGCACTCTCTTAAGGCTAGCAAATTTCATGGGCATCAGCATCAAGAGCAGGAACAGCAATCTCCAAATGAGGCTTATTGATCTGCATATGTTATTATGGTTTGTGTTCTGTCCCTTTTGTTTGCCTATTCATTTAGATCTAGGCAGGATTTCTTTTTCTGGAATAGACCACCCACAGGATAAATACTGCTCACCACCCATTTTCCACTGTGCAGGTGGTGCAGGTGCACTTCTCTAATATATGGAATGTGTTTCCTTCTTCCTCCCTCCCCTTCTTTTACTTTTTGGATTTTTCATTTATTTAGACGTGATATGTGATTGCATATTGATGTTTTGAAACTTACGTATGTTAGGTTATTCTTAACATTTCATTGTTCTGAACTATGTTTTCAACAATCCTTCTGCTTTGTTTGATCACCCTTTAGTGGTAGAATTTACTAGAAATACTGATCAGCTGAGCCTTTTTCTTGTTTCTATTGTATCGAAGATCAGCTAAAAGCTTTGGAATATGTTCTTTTTCCTGCTTTGTGCTGTTTACAAGTGTCTAATAATCATCCAGCCAAGAATTTTCTTTAGGATCTGTGAAAAAAATTGTTTTTCTGTCTTTCATTCCTTTTGATTTTATCGAAGGTCTTGTAATTTTTTCACACTTCCCTGTTTCACAGATTTAAAAATAGCCTTGTGGTGTTCTTAGCTAATATAGTTCTTTAATCCTCTTTGATAATTTGAGTTTTGTTACTATTTCCGTGGTCATCTTCTGTCACTAGAAATTAGCTAATTATTAATATTCAACGGGTCTCGTTCCTGTATGCATGTTACACTGGTTCATTTGCATTTGTTGATCCACAGTATACATCATTTTACTATCAGGTACACTAATCAACACCATACATGAAGACTAATGAACGACCGGTTTCAACTCTTTCGTAGGGGTTTTTAATTCAATTAGTTATTCTTTTATTTTGGTCCGTGGAAAATTGAAACAGTATGATGTTACGCTGTTATGAGTTTTGCAGGTTCAGGTATCCCTGCATATAAAGAAACGAAGTTAATTCCAGTTTACCATGGAATGTGTACAGGTTGATTCTTCTTGGTATGCTCTTTGGAGGATGTTTTAATGAGTCTTTCAGCTGGCAACTAATCGTGTAGGAGTAGGATGAATGAGAAAACTTCTGTCATTTGCAGGCTGAGGAAGATGCTTTTCTTTTCTTTTATGGAATATTAGTATGTGTATTGGTTACCAACTTTTGAACTTGATTTCCCGTTTCTAAAATTGTTTCTTTTACCAGACGACTATCCTTATTTTATTTCTTTTTCTTTCTTTATGTTCCTTGGAGTAAAAATGGATAGAATTTATAAAGTAAATAAATTTTATGACTATGAAATGATAAATTATTATTTAGTAATAATTTGATTAGTATATAATTCGATTATTTTCATTCAGGTCTAGAAAATGTCTATTTTTTTTTTCAGGATCTCGTGTAATTACAATACGACAGTTGTTTTTTTCTTAGGGTTAAATATGTTTTTAGTCCCTAAACTATTGACCGTTTCTGGTTTTCGTCCCTCTTTCAAAATAAGGTACAATTTAGTTCTCAATCTTTAAAAAATGTTCGTTTTAGTCGAAAAAACGAACGTTTTGAGGACTAAAACGAGGACTAAAAACAAAATTTTGAGGACTAAAACGAACGTTTTTCTAAAGAATGAGGACCAAATTGTACCTTACTTTGGAACAGGGACGAAAACCAGAAACGATCAATAGTTTAGGGACTAAAAACATATTTAACTCTTTTTCTTATGTTTTGTAGTATCTTCTTTCATAGAATGCTATAATGTAGCATACCTCGAAAACGTCTTATGCATAATTAGAAATAACAATGTAATTCGGGCCAGTTTTCTGGAAATATCAACACGCCAAAATTTTATGAATAAATTTTTTATGAACAAAATTTTTATGCGTCGGTTATTCTAAGACGAGGAATAGATTTATTAGTTAGTTGTCATGTCTCTTGTTATATGGGTCTATCATTTTACGTATAAATCATTAATAATATTTATGTTTATAATCTTTTTATAGTTGTTCAAGTATAAATTTTCCATGAATGTCATTCATTTTATAACAAAATTTATTACTAATATAAAACACGTATTAACTTTATGTTTTAGGATGACAAAATGATGAGCATTCTTACAAACATTTACAATAATAGTTGCTAAAGACCCATCCTGAAAATTACATATTAAAATATAACTCAAAAAATATCTTTTGAATTTGAAAACAGAAGTTGCATGTCTTTATCTAATTTCTATCAATATAAACGCAATCATATGGTGTCTACCACCATATATTATTATTATTTAATAATATTTTATCACTGTATTTAATTTTGAAGACATTTTTTAATTTTAGAAAAAAGTTATATAAGGTCTTCCCATGTTATCATGTCATATAAAATTAAACTAAAATAAATCAAGTGTTTAAATATTTTTGGATCCATAAATCGTACCAATTTCAATTTTGGACCCGTGCAATATTTGTCTCCAAATGTTTTTATCTTAGTTGTTTTCAATATTTTTTCTTATAAAAATTCTTAAGAGAAAGTGATGGCAAATAATAAAATCAAAAATACAATAAAACATCATACAATAGAGAAAAACCATAAATGGTTTAGGAAATACGAGTAAAAGGTTATTAGTTGCAACAAGTATAAACGTATTTGAATATAAAATAAAATAAAAAGTTAATAAGAAAATCATGATGAAAAAAAATTAGAACACAAATTACATATTAGTACGTTGAATGGACTTACCAAAGATAGAAAAAACAACCAGAAATATAAATAAATAGAAGATAAAGGGAAAAAGAGAAAAATATGAAGAATAAAATCATTACCAGAAAATTTTAATAAAGCAATAGAAAAATATGATGCGAGGTGTAAAAGAAATGGAAGAGTAGGGAATAACTGAAATTTATGATTATTATAGCTCTAAATGAAAAAATGTTTTTGTCTTTGTAGCATTAATGTGTTGTTTTTCTTATGTGTTTAGAGCATTAATGCTGTTGAGTTAGTGTCAAAACAAACTTGATTTTTAGTGTCACTCGGGCCATGTATGTCATGTTAATTTGGATTTTCTTTTTCATTTTTAATTATACATTCATCTTATTTTTAATCTATTTTTTAATTTTCTTATAAAAAATATCAAATAATTTATTTCCATATGTTTACTCCACAAATATTAAAGAAAACAAAATAGAAACAGTGTTACGGTTGTATAATTAAAACATATTTACAGATTATATATAATATATAATAAAATCTTAACCAAGATAGTTATTTTAAAAAATCATATATACAATAATAAGAATAATTTTTAAAAAAAGTGTCAAAATAACCCTTTGTACATTAAAAACTAGATAAATTAATGAAAAATAATAATTTAACATATATATATATTTTATGTCTATTTGACAGAACTTTTCTTATTTTTTACTTTCTCTTTCTAAAAAATACAAAAATTTATTTGTGTATAATCATTTTATTATTAAAATATGTCAAATGAATATATGATGTTTTACCCAAACTTCCCTCTTTTATACCTATTTACTCTTTTATAATTATTTTATTCTTGTAATATATATCTGTCACGTTATCATTGATATGAAAGATTCCCATAAAAATATCAAAGAAAAATACTTTAAACATTAATAGAAGTTCCGACAAAAATATCAAACAAAACTTCCGACAAATGCATTCACCATGACACTTCCAGGGTTTACTAGGCCAAAAACAAGGACATAACCTACCGTCCTTAAAATACTCTTACATAGAAAAAAATAATCATGAATAAGCTATCCAACTGCAAAATATCACTGACCGCCGTGCTTGGCCTTGCTATGTTGTTGCAGACCACTTTCGGTATTGAAAGTCCTGGACAAAGGAACACACAATATTAACATCAGGTCATCATGCAATTTAACAAAGCTAAGGTTGTGGTCTTTTGTAAAATATCATACTTGCTGCAACTCTTGCAAATAAGTCCACCGGACTTGGGACTCTTGTCCTTGGCTTCACTGCTGGGAGTCTTTCCACCTTTCTTCACGGATTGAGGAGTTTCTGCTTTTATGTTTTTCTTGCCATCTAAATCACAAATTAAAGAGGTGGTTAGTAGTGCAGAACTAAAGACAAGTGAATACCTCAGCTTCCAAGTTCAGTCAGGGCGTACATTCACTACAATGATGTAAAACATTCACTGACAAAAATACATGATTATATATGACTCACCCTTCTTTTCAGGAGTAGCATTTTTAGCTTTCTTGGAGGAGACAGGAGTTTTTGATGCAGATTCGTTTGGTCTCTTCTTTCCCAAATCGGCCTACAAAACATGAATTATAAAATAGAATTCAACATAGAACTACAAAATAATTGTTAAGTCATCACTATCATAGAAATAAAACTAATAATGACAGGTGAAAATCCAATACTTTTTTAGGAGGGGTCTCTTCATCGTCATCTTCATCACTGTCATCCTCCTCATCGCTGTCATCACTGTCAGCATCCTCCATCTAAACAGATAAACAGTAAAATGTCACCATAAAATAAGACACCCAACTTTTAAAGATGAATACTTGAATGGTTAATTGTTACAACAAGAATGTTATCAAGAGCAATTAGTTACTTTCACTGACAAGATTCTAATTGCAACTTAAAACTCTTTAAAACAACTAGCAAGAATGCCTACTTAAAAATTGCACCTCTACTGTATCTTCAAAATACATTGATTTTGAAATATAAAATCAATATAAAAAACTTTGAATATATTTTAAACTAGCAAAACAATGTGAATTGGACGTCAAGTAGAGCGATAGTACCAAACAATCAATAGAGATTCCAAACTCCACAATAACCACTATTTTAAACTTTTTGTTGTTTATATACAGCATACCATCTACAAATAAATTCTAAAAACTAATTAAAATCACTCAATTAGCAACATCTGTCATTATACAAGTAAACACCAACAAATGTCAAATACAAGTTTCCAAGATAATAACTATTAGTCATTTCGTCTAAATCCAAGTCTTCTTTATCATTAACTGTTATTACATCTATAAAATAGCACATAGCTACAACTGCCCCTTTAGATGTTAGGGGCAGCTCCACACCACCATGCCAGCACTATATGAAACCCTTGATAAAACTGCAAACAATTTCAACAAAGGTATCGCACTCTAACCATTTAAGCATATTGTCATATATTATAAACACAGTCAAAAAATTTCACATCAAGAGCAATTCAAAACAAAGCAAATTAATACCTCTTCATCAGAAATTCCCAAAGCATCATCTTCATCAGAATCATCATCAGAATCCTCATTGTCTTTCTCTGGCTCAACAACCTTGACTTTTTTTGCTACAGCACCAGTCTTAGCATCAGGCTTTTTAGATGCAAGTGCCTTCAATTCTTCAACTTTCTTTTCAGGTTTTCCTAGCATAAGATACATGTCAATTAGCTAACCGTGTAGACTCATGCACAAGCAACAATAAAACTAAGATTAAGAAGAAACAGGTACCATTCTCTGCGTTAAGCAATGGAATATCCTCATCACTATCTGTCCAATTAAAACAAAAACAAATGTCAGACCAAGCAACTCAATCCAAATGTAATTACTATTTTTATAAGTGAATGTTTGAGCCTTACCAGTAAACTCATCGTCTTCGCTAGTGCCAGCCAAAACACAACAAAAGTCAAGGAAAAAACTTAAAAGGGAATAACAAATATAAAGCTAAAACGAGATAGCGAAACAAATGTGTTCCCGGTCATTCATTTGGATAAAGCAGTTGCTCCACATAAACCTCAAACATTAAGATATTAGTTTATAAACAGCAGTTTAAAAATTTAAAAATAGATCAATAATGCCAAGGATATTCATCGCCAGAGTAATATGCCTTGTATCCACAGAAATGTACGCTGGCACTCTTTGAACTGTGGGATAGTTCAAACTCCTTCTCCAGAACCAATTCTAGGGATATTTGAGGGATTTTCTCCCTGGACAGGGTCCCCAGGACAAACTTCTGCTCACCGACCTTCAAGTACACAACAACAGGCTCATTTGTTTTGTCTTTCTTTGCCTCACCAAGAGCAGCCTACACAGCAACAGGTCAGTAACTTTGTCTACACACAAAAACGTACAACAAGACATGGCAAAAACCCAAAACCCTAACCTGAGAAAGGTGGATGCATGCCTCAAATTCAGTTGGGTCAACCTTAACAGACTCCCCAACCTTAACCTCAGCACCTAGATAGACAAAACCAAAATATCAGATATCCCTACATAAAACCCTAATACATAAACCATCATAATATATACTAATGCTTATAGCAGTATCAGCCATCATTGATGACACAAGGAAGAAGGAAATAAAAGTGATGCAATAAATCAGTACTGCAAATACTTAAAAGAACCCATTTCCGTATAACTGAAAATATGGACGCTTAGCAATAGTTGACAGAGGAAATTACTTCGATCAGAGAAAGAACAAATCGGAAGAAGAAAATATAAATAAGAAGAAGATAAAGGAATAAGAGAGAAAGGCCAAGAATAGGATTATTACCCCAAAACTCCATTGGAAGAAAAATGGAATGAAGCAGAGGGAAAGTAGGGTAGAAGACTAAAAAAATGGAAGAGTGGCGGGGAAGACAGAGAGGGTTTTAAGGGTTTTATGAATATTTATAGCCCTAAAAAGAGTTGTTTGATTTCGTGGCAACTAGGGTTTTTCTTTTTTCTTACCCCAAACCTTTGATTTTTGAAAATTACTTCTTGCACCTCCGCATATTTCAACCAACAGCACTAGAATGTTTACAATGCCATAATTACCCTTTTGGACTTTTAAATTTAATCCTAATTTTCTCTCTCTTCTCCCTCACATGGTCTTTCTTGCATGCGTTTCAGTACCTTGTTCCTCCTTTTCATATTTTCTTTCTCTTCTTTTTCACTTAGTTTTTTCATAGTTTTGTTTTAATCATTAGTTTACCTTTCTTTTACATTTTCGTTCTCGGTTTTTTCCCATTTCAATATTAAAATATAACAAAATCTCAACATCTATTTGTACCTAACAATACATCCTTTAGTCAAGATACCCATTTAATTTAAGATATTTGCATGATTACATGTATTTGTTATGTAGTTTTTCATTTCTTTTCTCCATATAATCTTGTATCTCATTGATTTGTACACAATAAGCAAATAATATGTTACGTTTATGAGAAGGAGACCTAACTTTTCTCGCAACACTCACTCACACCAAAGCAAATAAACAAGAGAAAACAAAGGAAATATGTATAATATCTGTAATTGTATATATTCACTGTAACTGTAAAACGAAAACAATACAACTGGGGAGCCTAATCCCCCTCAACAAGGTCCAAGACCTGTTTACAAAACGTAAGAAAATATCGCTCTCCTTTATCTGAGATAACAAAGGTATATTTATACTCTCTCTCTCCCCCTAACAGCCTAACAAACTTTTTCGCTCTTTTTATTCATCATCCATCGTTCGGTATTAGCAAACCTTATACCGTTCGGCCATGCACACCCTCCTCCTTAGCAGTTACCGTTCGATATTAGTGTATATATTGTTCGGCTCCTTCATTCCTCTTCATCTACCGTTCGGACCCCCACTCCCTTACTCTTATTCCCCTACCGTTTGGACCATCATTCCCTTACCATTCGGTATTCTTCTTCCTCCTTTCATACACTTTCCAACTCCTAACATAATGACATCAGTTTTAGTTTTACACTCTTTCTTTTCTTGCTTTTCTCAAATCTTCTTTTTAATTTGTCTTCCATATGTTTTCTACACTTGTATTTAGATGTTTTTCATCCCAAGACACACGACAATGAATGGAGTTTAAGATGGTATCAATGTTATTCAATTGAAGAGCTTTGTTGCGTTTTTAATCTGATTGTTGTTCTTTCTTTCTGCATATTTCGCGTTTTACCTTTTTTTTTTCTCTTCGTGTTTTTCGTATGGTTGAGGAAGAAGAAACTACAATGTTAACCAGTGAAAGTCACATTTATCTTCATCCAACGAATGTCCAATTATGACACTCATTTCTCTTATTTTTTATTTTACTAACAACCATTATTTGACTAAGTCAATGCTCACAACGTTGAGTGCGAAGAACAAGTCTCAATTTGTAAATGGTTCAACCAATAAATCATAAAAGGGAAGTTCTTTGAAAAATGCATGGCAACAATGTAATTATATGGTTGTGTTGAGGTTTGTCCCTTCTTTGTCACCCAACATTAGGCAAAGCATCCTTTGGATGGAAGATACAAAAGAAATTTGGATTGATTTAAAAGTAAGGCTTTTTCAGGGAGACTTGTTGTATATCTTAGATCTTTTGACAGAAGTTGGGCAATTGAAGCAAAGTGATTACAACATCAATGAATACTATACAAAGCTTTGAATCATTTGGGACGAGCTTGAGAATTTCAGGTCAGACATTGGATGTACATGCTTTTTCATATCGTACATTGAATACTTTACAATACATTTTTATGCAATGTTGTTTTTCATGAAGATATTTTTTTCTAAATGTCATGACATAGACAATGATGCTACTGAATGGGTTTGCTCTCTTATCCCTCACAAATGCAACATTAACTTAGATTATGATAATACTGTCATGCATGATGAAATCTTGATAATATTGATACTCACAATAATGATGATGTAAAAACACAATGCCACAATGTTAATAATGATAATGTGAGAAAATATACCATAATACAAGATTGCCCTTATACCTTTAAGACCATCACGTAAATAAAACTAATATCGATGAGAGAAACAAGTATCAATACAATCTTTTACATCCCTAGCTCGTTTGTCTCCTTCTCGACATATTGTTATGAATATTGATAGTGCAATTGAACCTAAAAGCTACAATTAAGTTGTCAAAGATTTTAATTGACAAAAAGTTATGAAGACTAAACTCACAACTTAATATTAGAACAAATATTGAACCCTCACTAATCTTCCATCAAACTGCAACACAATAGATTGTAAATGTGAATTATAAAGCATAAGGATCTATTGAGTGACACAAAGTGCGCCTAGCTTCTAAAGGTTATACCCACCATGAAGACATGGACTTTCATGATACGTATGCCCCTGTTGCTAAACTTTCCATAGTTTCCCTCATTTTTGCCATTGCAACCTTCAAAGATTGGAAATTGGCACACCTTGACATGAACAATGCATTCATGGAGACTTGGAAGAAACTATCTACATGGAAGCACCTCTTGATTAAATCTATCGAGAAGAGACATGTATGTCTTCTACATAAATCCTTGTATGGATTTAGGCAAGACAATAGATAATGGTACACTAAGCCCTGAATTTTTCCTTTTCAGGATTAATGTTACCACGTCATAATGAAAATATTTCTAGATGGGTAATCCTAGCAATATGAATAAAATTAAAAATTAGAATATTCTCTGAAAAAATCTAAATCATTACTATCATTTAATTTTAACTGAAAATGTGTTCAAAAATATCAAAAACTCATTATTATATCATCTACGTATGGAACTCATAATATGTTTATATATATTTGTTCTACCTGTAAACTTTTTTAGTAAAGAAGTTGAGTGGGAATGACGAGTCGGCTCCTCCTATATAAAAGAAATACAAGCTAATTATATTTACTCATTACGTATAACATTTGGTGAGTGGATTTGCATTAACCCGCATAAAGATTCTTTATTTTCTATTCTCGCGTTGAGCGTCTTGTTCGTTTTATAAGTTTTGTGTTATTTTCTCTTGTTTTCATATAAATAATAATTACAACGATACTGTGTTTGGTATATTATATAAAATGTTTGGATGATTTATGAATGAGATTGTGATTTGGATTGGGTTGAGTTGCGCTAGGCTGTGTTGAGTTGGGTTGGGTTGGGATGAGCTGGATTTGGATAGGCTGGATTGGGTCGGGCTGGGTTCAGCTTGGCTGGGCTCAGTAAGGTTGGGTAGGGTCAAGTCGGGTCGGATCGAGTTGGGTTGTGTTAAGTTGGGTTTGGTTCGGTTGAGTTGGGTTGGGTCAAGTCAGATTAGGTCAAGTCGGGTCGGGTTCGGGTCAATTCAATTTCATTGGTTGTGTTTGATTAGGTTGGATTGGGTTCAGTTGGATTGGGATGGGTTAGGTTGAGTTCGATTGGGTTGGGTTTAGTTGCCTTGAGTTGGCTTAAGTTGGGTTGGGTTGGGTCAAAGTGGGTTGGGCTGCGATGGGATGTGATGGGTTTGGTTTGGTTTAAATCGAGTCGGTTCGGTTCGGTTCGGTTCAATTCAGGTCAGGTCGGACTGAGATCGGTTGGGTTGGGTTGGGTTGCATTGGGCTGGGATGAGTTTAGTTGGATTGGGTTGGGTTGCGTTAGGTAGAGATTGGTTGGGTTTTGATGGGTTGGGTTGGGTTAAGAATAATGTTGTTAAAATGGACCACCAGGCCCGACCCACCACGGGTTGGCCACTAGTGAGCCAACCCAACCCGACTCATTTATTAGCGAGCTGAAAAAATTCAAACCTCGTCCGACCACCATGTGTTGGTGGGTTAAATAGATTGACTCACTCGCTGACTTAATTACGAGTTTTCTTTTAAATCCAAAAACTCAATTAAAATTTGCTAATAATTGAAATTTAAATAATTTCACTCTAAAATGATGTTAAACTCCAAAGACAATTCAAAATAAAAAAAATAATATAAAATTCAATTGTAATGCAAAAGCAAATCCAAAAAGTAAATAAATAAGCTTATAATTAATATAAAGTTGGGTTGGGTTCAGTTGGGTTGGGTTCGATTTGGTTGAGTTCGGTTCAGTTGGATTCTTGGGTTGGGTTGGGTTGGGTTCGATTCGGTTGGGTTGTGTTCGGTTGGGTTGGGTTGGGTTGGGTTCGATTCGGTTGGGTTGTGTTCGGTTGGGTTGGGTTCGGTTGGATTCGGTTCGGTTGGTTTGGGTTGGGTTGGGTTCGGTTGGGTTGGGTTGGGTTCCGTTGCGTTCGGTTCGGTTGGGTTGGGTTAGGTTGGGTTCGGTTCGATTTGGTTCGAGTGGGTTCACTTCGGTTAGGTTCAGTTCGGTTGGGTTGGGTTGGGTTTGGTTAGGTTCGGTTGGTTTGGGTTGGGTTGGG